CCTCCCCCATGCCGTCCCCCTCTGGCCCCTCTGCCCTGCCCCTTGCCCACGGCCCCACATACCCCAGTGCGGGCTGCGCCCTGGAGGCCTTCACCACGCCTTTGCCCTCTGTGCCCGACATTCTGCTCCCAGATGCGCGTCCCCTGCCCCTGCCCCTCTCACGGTCTCTGCAGCTGCCGCTCCTCCTCGAAGGCGCTGGCCGCGCGGGACGCCCTCCGCCCGCTGCGCCCGCACCTGGCAGTGGGGCGGCCCCTGGGCAACCTGACGGCACTGCTGGGCCAGTCCGGCTGCCGTCGCCCACACGCCCACACTTCCCCTGACTGCCCGCCCCCGCCCCAGCTGGCTCTGGGACAGGTCTGGACATTGCAGGCTGCCAGGAAATCACCTGACAAATGGGGAGATCTGGGAAGAGGGAAATTACTGGGTGGAATGTCAGCGAGACCCTGGCAGCCAATGGTGCCTCCTCCAGGCAGCCCTCAGCCAGCAGACTCCAGAGCCCGTCCAGGTGCCTGCAGAGTCCTCATGCCCGCCACCCGCACTGCACCCCGGTGCCCTCCTCTGCCCTCCCCACAGACCCCCTGACCGCCAGCCTGACACCAGGGCGCCCTCCTCTGCCCTCCCCACAGACCTCCTGACCGCCAGCCTGACACCAGGGCGCCCTCCTCTGCCCTCCCCACAGAGAGCCTGACCGCCAGCCTGACACCAGGGCTCCTCCCTCTGCCCTCCCCACAGACAGCCTGGCCGGCCCGGCAGCTGTGGCCGCAGAGTGCTGCCTCCTTCCTTTGTCCCTTCGTTCTCCGACTTGTGCCCCGGTGACGGGTTCATGCCCATGGAAAGGAAATCGGTTAGAAGGTGGCCAGAGGGGCAGGACCGGGCGGGACGGGCTGGACATGCCCTGGAGCCCACCTCCCGCCTCCCTCCCAGCCGGCCGCAGCGGGGGTGGCGCTGGGGCTCGAAGGCATCTGTGGACTGAGTGGGGTCCCTCCGGCAGGGACTCCCCGGGGCTCCATAATGTACACATTAGAGACCCAGAGCATGGTCCGGCCTGGCCAGGGGGAGGGGACACGGGCGGGTGGCCCGCCTGCCTGCTGGTCGAATTCCTGGTTGAGGGGACAATCTCCACATTAGCCTTTTATTCTATAGGATAGACACTGAGTGGCCAGATGATTATGCGTTCAGAGATCGTCATCATCTGGCCGCTCAGTGTCTATTATGTGTACCTTTACCTGTCCCAGGTCTGCTGCGCGAGGCCTGGATGTTGTGTCGAGAGAGGCTCAGTCAAACTGCACCTGTTCTAGGCACCCCACAGACCAGCAAGTGTGGTCGGACACTCTGAGTTGAAGGAAGACGGCGGTTCTTATCAATCTTATGGGAAGGAATCCAAATGAGTGACTCCAGACCATTGCATTGTAGTAAAGCCAATTTCTTAAAGCAGGAACTTTTTTTTTAATAATATATTTTATTGATTTTGTACAGAGAGGAAGGGAGAGAGATCGAGAGCTAGAAACATCGATGAGAGAGAGTCATCGATCAGCTGCCTCTTGCACACCCACTACCAGGGATGTGCCCGCAACCAAGGTACATGCCCTTGACCAGAATCAAACCCGGGACCCTTCAGTCCCCAAGCCGACTCTCTATCCATTGAGCCAAACCGGTCCCGGCTAAAGCAGGAACATTTAGTAAAGAAGCAAAGCAAGCAAATCTGTTAGGCTACACCCGGCCTAGAGCACAGGCGGGCCGCTCGGCGAACCCAAGAAGCTAGTGCAGTGGGGACTCAGGAGTTATAGACCCTTCTGTCCACAGGCTTAAATTTTTTAAAATCCCTTTGCCAAATGTCTCGGCTCAGATTAACCCTGAAGGTTTCTCTTTTACTTTGTCATGGCTTTCCCAGAATTTACGAGAAGCATCTGGCAATTTTATCTCGACAAAGCCCGAGACCGCTGGCTTCTCTGCTTAAACAGTGAGATGAAAACTCCCTTTCTCTCCCCGTTCCCACCCGCCACCTCCGCCCCCAGTGAAGGAGGGATCCGGTGGCTCCACAATCCCACCAGCATTAGATGGTGTCGGCGTTCTGGATCTTGGCTGTTCTAGTAGGTATGCAGGGGTGTCTGGTTGTTGCTTTATTATAATTTGGAATCCCTAGATGACATATGATGTGGAGCATCTTTTCGTATATTTACTTATCATCTGTGCATCTTGTTTGGTGAGATACCTGCTGAGACCTTCGACCCACAGATTGTTCCTCCAACAACACCAACTGTCCTGTTTATCCTGGCTTCGTAGTCAAGTTCTCCAATATTCTCAGTCACTGTTGCGTCAGCACATGTCCCACGTCTGGTGGCTTCCCACATTCTTGGGTATTCTGGTCTGTTTGTTTTGTTCTGCTTTGTTCTGCTTTGAGTCTCCATGTCTTTGCTCTTCGTTTTAGGAAGTTTCTGTTGTCAGACCCTGAATGAAGCCGGCCACGTCAAGTGTGAACAAGGAGCTCCTTAATCTTTATGTCTTACAGTGCTAGTTTTTCAGCATTACTTTTTTATTCTTTCTCAAGATTCCCATCTCTCCGCTCATGTGATCCTCATCTAATTCTGGTTCTGACCCTTGTTCGGTCTCTTTACATTGTTTTGTGCCCTTTTATTTATTTTATTTATTTATTTTTTTTTTAAAATATATTTTATTGATGTTTTACAGAGAGGAAGGGAAAGAGATAGAGAGCTAGAACGTCGATGAGAGAAATCATGGACCAGCTGCCTCTTGCACACCCCCCACCGGGGACCTGCCCGCAACCAATGCACATGCCCTTGACCGGAATCGAACCTGGGACCCCTCAGTCCGCAGACCAACACTCTACCACTGAGCCAAACTGGCTTCGGCTGTTTTGTGCCCTTTTAGTCTGCCATGTAATTTTTTTTTTTTTTTTTGAGAGAGAGAGAGAGAAACAGAAACATCAACGGAAGAGATAGGCATGGATTGACTAACCAGGAACCAAACTCAAAACCTAGGCATGTGCCCAGCCCAGTAGCTCTCCATTGCCGGGATTCTTGTCCCAGCGTTATGAAGGGTTTAACAATCTGGAGAAAGGAGCTGATGCACAGATTAGGAAGGGGTCCAAAGACGAAAGGTAATTTTGAAAGGCATTGGGGGCCAGAGGGTCTTCAGCTAAAGGAGATAAAGACTACCTCTTGTCTAAGGACCCTGTGCTATTTATTAACACAGTTTGTCCTAAGGCAAGGTGGAGATAATACACTTCAAAGGGTAGGGCTTCAAAGGGTAGGGTACCGAAGCATTGTCAGTTTGGGGAACGGCCTACAGCTGTTCAGGTGTTTGGCCAACAGGAGGCAATAACATGCGGATTTAAGATGCCGTGAGCTTTCTGGCAGCAAACAATAATATATACAAATCTTTAGGTTTGGGGAAATGTCCTATTCAGGTTTAGGGGAGATGCTTTTTAACCGTCCCAGATGTTCCAGCCCTACTCACATGCTGGAATTGGCTTCTGGCACGCCACCCTGGGTGCACAGGATGGATGCTCCAACCTGAGCCACACCGGCCAGGGCTGCTGTGTGATCTTTCCAGAAAGGCAGGTGTGATGTGCTGGGTGAAAGGGACGGGTCGGAGAACGAAGGGACAAAGGAAGGAGGCAGCACTCCACGGCCACAGCTGCCTGGCAGTCAGGCTGTCTGTGGGGAGGGCAGAGGAGGGCGCCCTGGTGTCAGGCTGGCGGCCAGGCTGTCTGTGGGGAGGGCAGAGGAGGGCGCCCTGGTGTCAGGCTGGCGGTCAGGGGGTCTGTGGGGAGGGCAGAGGAGGGCACCGGGGTGCAGTGCGGGTGGCGGGCATGAGGACTCTGCAGGCACCTGGACGGGCTCTGGAGTCTGCTGGCTGAGGGCTGCCCAGAGGAGGCACCATTGGCTGCCACGGCCTCGCTGACATTCCACCCAGTAATTTCCCTCTTCCCAGATCTCCCTATTTGTCAGGTGATTTCCTGGCAGCCTGCAATCTCCAGACCTGTCCCAGAGCCAGCTGGGGCGGGGGCGGGCAGTCAGGGGAAGTGTGGGCGTGTGGGCGACGGCAGCCGGACTGGCCCAGCAGTGCCGTCAGGTTGCCCAGGGGCCGCCCCACTGCCAGGTGCGGGCGCAGCGGGCGGAGGGCGTCCCGCGCGGCCAGCGCCTTCGAGGAGGAGCGGCAGCTGCAGAGACCGTGAGAGGGGCAGGGGCAGGGGACGCGCATCTGGGAGCAGAATGTCGGGCACAGAGGGCAAAGGCGTGGTGAAGGCCTCCAGGGCGCAGCCCGCACTGGGGTATGTGGGGCCGTGGGCAAGGGGCAGGGCAGAGGGGCCAGAGGGGGACGGCATGGGGGAGGGATGAGATGTGGGGTCGTAGGGCAACGCGCACGGGCCAGGTGGGCGGGGCCTGGGCAGCCTGGGGGCGTGGCCTGGGCAGTCTGGTGGGCCTGGGTAGCCTGGGGGCGGGGCTTGGGTAGCCTGGGGGCGGGGCCTGGACAGCCTTGGGGCGGGGCCTGGGCAGCCTTGGGGCGGGGCCTGGGCGGCCTGGTGGGCGGGGCCTGGGCAGCCTTGGGGCGGGGCCTGGGCAGCCTGGTGGGCGGGGCCGGGGACCTCCCCACCTGCAGAAAGTCGGGGTCTTTGACCTCGGTGCCCCAGAAACCGGGTCAGCCGCTCACACCCTGCGAGCTCTACCCTCCTCCACAGCCTGAGGCTTCCGGTCCGGACGGTACAAAATCTCTTTACTGTTTATTTTGTAGAAAAAGTCGTGCCTCTTGGGGGCCACAGGGATGGGATGTGCACAGCGCATGACAAGCTCCGCCCAGGCCTGCAGCGGGGAGGGGGCGGCCGGGGGCCGGGGCGGCGGCCTGGAGGGGGCCGTGCAGAGCGGCCCCTCGGGGTCCGGGTCCGGGGGGCGGGGTGCTCGCAGCCGGGGCGGGGCGGGTCCCTCCTGCAGGCAGCGCGGCCATCGGGGGCCCCCAGACGCGGCCGGAGCGGGGCGCCCTCACCGCCCCCCGGGCCCGTCGCCCTCCTGCGCCTGCTCGAAGGGGCAGGCCCGGCGGCCGGCGGCGGGCTCCGGGGGCCCGGCGGGCGGCGGCTCCTCCTCGGCGCCCGCGCCCCCGGCCTCGCCGTCGCTCTCGTCCGAGTTGTCCTCCTCCAGGTAGCGGTAGCCGCGCACCTTGTGCTGCGGCCGCGGGATGCGGGGCTGGCGCGGGGCCACGCCGCGCCGCAGCTTCCGCTCCATCGCCAGGTAGGACAGCACGGCGGCCGCCAGCGTCAGCAGCAGCGCCGCCAGCTTGGCCTGCGGGGGGCGGTTTTAGGGTCCCGTCCCCCCAGGCCCATCCCCGCCCCCCCAGGCCCATCCCCGCCCCCCCAGGCCCATCCCCGCCCCCCCAGGCCCATCCACCGCCTCCCAGCCCCTCCGATGGCCGGGCTCCGCCGGCTCCGCCCGCACAGGGGACGGGAGAGGCTGAGATGGGGGCACAGCCTGGCCCCCCTTTACCGGGCTGAGGTCCCTCCCTGACCCTTATACGCGGGACCCTAAGCTACGCTTCTCAGCAGGTTCCCACCGTCACCCCCGGTGAGAGAATCCTGCCCCACAACCCAGTCCCTGCACACACACTCCCGCTGCGTCCTATTCTGTTTCCTTTTTTAAATACTGGCCAGGCCCTAGCCGGTGTGGCTCAGTGGATAGAGCGTCGGCCTGTGGACCTAGGAGTCCGGGTTCGATTCTGGTCAAGGGCATGTGCCTTGGTTGCGGGCACATCCCCAGTGGGGGGCGTGCAGGAGGCAGCTGATCTATGTTTCTCTCTCATCGACGTTTCTAACTCTCTATCCCTCTCCCTTCCTCTCTGTGAGAAATCAATAAAATATATATTTTTAAAAATACTGGTCAGGAGGGACCTGCTACACCGCCCACGGGGAGTGAGAGCAGAGCGTGGGCACCTGCTCCCCGTGGCCGCAGAGGGAGACGCACCTCCCGCGTCCCTCTCGGGCCGGACACCGGACACCGGGCACAGGTTAGGGTTAGGGTTAGGGTTGGGGTTAGGGTTGGGGTTAGGGTTAGGGGTTAGGGTTGGGGTTGGGGTTAGGGGTTGGGGTTGGGGTTGGGGTTAGGGGTTAGGGGTTAGGGTTGGGGTTGGGGTTAGGGTTAGGGGTTGGGTTGGGGTTGGGGTTAGGGTTAGGGGTTAGGGTTGGGGTTGGGGTTAGGGGTTGGGGTTGGGGTTAGGGTTAGGGGTTAGGGATTAGGGTTGGGGTTGAGGTTGGGGTTAGGGGTTAGGGTTGAGGTTGGGGTTAGGGGTTGGGGTTGAGGTTGGGGTTAGGGTAGGGGTTGGGGTTGGGGTTAGGGTTGGGGTTAGGGTTAGGGGTTGGGGTTGGGGTTAGGGTAGGGGTTGGGGTTGGGGTTAGGGTAGGGGTTGGGGTTGGGGTTAGGGTTAGGGGTTAGGGTTGGGGTTGGATTGTGGTTAGGGTTGGGGTTAGGGTTAGGGGTTAGGGTAGGGGTTGGGGTTGGGGTTGGGGTTAGTGTTAGGGTTAGGGGTTGGGGTTGGGGTTAGGGTTAGGGGTTGGGGTTAGGGTTAGGGGTTGGGGTTGGGGTCAGGGTTAGGGTTAGGGCGGCTGGGACGTCCCCAGGCAAAGCTCAGCCTGTGGCCCTTGGAGAGGGGCACGCTGAGGCCCAGGAGGCGAGGCGGCGAGTGAAGGCTGGGTTTGGCGTGCCCTCCCAGGGCTACGAGGCCGGGGGTGGGGGGCGGGCACTCAGAGGGAGCTGGGGTGGGGGAGCCTAATGCCCAGAGGACCCCCTCACCTTCATGGGCAGCCCGGCGCCCAGGTACACCACGAAGATGGCCACGGCCTGCCACCAGTGGTAGATAGTGAAGATGAAGTCCTGCCGCTCTTTGTCCTCGTACAGGATCCCCAGCAGCGCTGCGGCGGGCGGGCAGGGAGGGTGTCACCAGGGCCCAATGTCCTGGTCTCCCTCCCACTGCCATCCCCCAGTGCGGGTCCCAGGCCGCCCTGCAAAGCTGTGACCCGTCCCGGCCTGCCCCCTGGTGGACACGCCGGTGACTGCCCTGCCCGGGCAGCTGAGCGGAGCAGAGAGGAGATGGGTGGGGTGCAGGTGGACCTCGCTCTGGGGCACCGGGACTTGAAAAGCAGAAACGTTGGTGCCAATCCCAAACTGTGCCCTTAGCGGCCCCGGCTGCTCAGAGCCAGGCCTGCGGGACTGTTTCTCCCCCGCCCCTGGCTCAGCAATGAGCTGGCTACAGACTAAGCCTGGCGCTGGGGCCGTGAACCTATTTCCCTAAGGATCCGCCGGGGGTGGGCCGGAGAGCGGACAGAGCCAGGGCTTCCGACTGCACCTCGGGCGGCACAGGGAGGGAGCGGGCACAGAGGCGTGGGTCTCAATGCCAGCCCTGGGGGCGACTTAGAGAAGGCAGCTCCCAGGCCTTTTCCCGCCCGGAGAGCGAGCCCAGGCGGACGTGTCACACTGCGAGGCTTTAGGCGAGAGCCGCACGGCCGGGCAGAGCGCACCCTCCCCGCTGGCGGACAGGACACCGCCGTGGCCCTGTACCCCAGGGGCTGCTGTGAGGGGCACGGAGTCCGGGGTCCACAGAGGGGGCAGGAAGCAGAGCTGGGAAGAAGAGGTGGGGACCAGGCCACTCCGGCCATCACACGGGTCCAAGGTGCCCAGGCCGGATGCTGCCCAGAGCTGGCTGCCCCTGAGCAACACAGCCACGAGCACGTGGTTCCCCCCGACACTCTCTCTCTCTCTCTCTCTCTCTCTCTCTCTCTGGCGGTAAGCGCTGGGATCACCTGAGCAGTCCAGCCCGCCTGCAGCAGCATGACCTCGCCATGCCACCCCCCGTGGCGAGGTTCAAAATGGAACAGTTGCCGAGGGGGAGGACCCCGATGGCTGAGCTGTGGGTGCCTCTGCGTGTCCCTGGCATATGCCCACGGAGGGCAGAGATCCTCGCAGCACCGAACGCTGACCACGGCGTCCTGTCCACCCACAGGGCCCGCGGCCCGCTGCCCCGGCAGCCAGCTTGGGGCCTGGACGCTGCAGACCAGCTCCGGCGCCACCCGGCCCCAGGGCCCTGTGAGGCCGCGCCTCCTGCCCCTGGGCGTGCCCGGCCGCGGCGCTCCCGCGCTCCTGAGACAGACACGGAACCTGCTCCCGGTTCGTGGAAACTGTGCCACGTGGGCCCTGCCCCGGCAGGAAGCAGAGCGCCCCCTGTGTTCCTCACCCTGTCCTTCCGAGCTTTCCACAGAGCCCACACCTACCCCGGTAGCCAGATGTCACACTGAGCCCGCAGCGTCACAGGCCCATGCCCAGCTGGGGTGCCCACCGGATGTCCATGGCACAGGACCCCCACCTGTCCCTCCGATGGCCACGGGACTGGCCACCCCTGTGAGGCCACAGGACCCACAATTCCCCTGCCAGGTATGCAGGGCCCACGACGGACCTCCTTGTGTCTGTGCCCCCACCTGCCCAGCCGTCCCGTGCCCGTGGCGACACTCACTGGAGAGTCCGGTCTTGTTGAGGCCGCTGCCCACGCCCCAGAGGACGGCTGCGAGGTAGAGGGTCCAGACGTGCTGCAGGACCCGCGGTTTGGGGGCCCAGAAGAAGAGGCCGAGCGTGAGCAGCAGGTGCAGGCCGGCCCCCGACAGCAGGGGCACCTGGCGGGGCAGCCACAGCCCCAGCATGCCCAGGAGCGAGGCGGCGGAGGCGCCCAAGCCGTAGGCCACGAGGAGGTAGGCCAGGCGCTCCAGGCCCACGGAGCACACGCCGTAGCCCTGGGGCGGGGGGAGGGGGGCGCGTGAGGCTCTGGCCCTCCCCGCAGGCGGCCCCACCCTGCCCTCCAGCACCTGGGGGCGGACTCCCTCCAAGGCTCAGGCGCCTGGGAAGGTTGGGGCGGGGGAGAGGGAGCAGAGAAAATGCTGGACATTGTTCCGGGCACCAAGGCCGCACCCCACCAGGAACCAAACGCCTGATGGGTGTTATCCTGCCTCAGCCATGTCACCCCGGGAGCGAACCCCCCTCCCTTCAGAGGAGGAACCGGCTCAGGAGGTAACGTAATGTCCCCGATTGAGGGGGAGGAAGGAGGGGCAGCGGGGGGATATGGGACATGTCTGTACACACGGAGACCCGCGGTCAAACCTCCGTCGTCGTTTATCTGCGGCTCAGACGGAGCCGCACAGGCGGTCACCGCCACCCGGGCTGCACCTACCAGCGCGAGCCCCGTGCAGGCGAACAGCACCTCGAAGCCGCTGTACACGAAGAAGGGCACGAGGTGGCGCAGGCGGAAGTCGCGCACGTGCTTGAAGGGCAGCTGGAAGATGTTGCCCCAGCCCACGCTGCGCAGGTCGATTTCCTCCGTGGGCCGGTAGGCGGCCCCGCACAGGCCCAGCACCTGCGGCCCGAAGGCCGTGAGGGGCAGCCAGGCCGGCCCCGCCCCCAGATGCACGCCCCGCCCCTCTGCACAAGGCCCCGCCCCAGATGCACGCCCCGCCCCTCTGCACAAGGCCCCGCCCCTAGGGATACGCCCCGCCTCTCGGCACAAGGCCCCGCCCCTAGACCCACCACAGGCCTCAGCCCGTGTCCCAGCCCACGCTCACACCAGCCACGCCCCACGCCTCCTGCCCTCAGGAGCCGCACCGTCCACCCCAGCCCAGGTCAGGCCAGCCCCCTGCAGCCCAGACTCCACCTCCACCCCAGACCGAGCCTGCCCCTCCAGCCCCACCCCGGCCCACCGGCATCTTCCTGCCCACCGCCCCGGGGCCCAGCCTGGCCCCCGCCGGCCGCCGCACCAGCAGCATGGCCGCGAAGGCCACGGCCATGAGCACGCTCTCCACCACGATGAGGTTGCGGCTGCGCGGCAGCGTCTTGAGCACCGTCTTGTTGAAGCCGGTGAGGATGCCCTGGCTGTCGGTGCCTGCGGAGGCGGGGGCGGTGAGGCGGCAGGAGGGCTCGCTCAGTCACACCTGCGGCCGGCGGGCGGGCGGGGGCGGGGGCGGGGGCACGGGCCGGGCAATGCCGGCCAAGGCAGGGCTCCTGGACAGCCGTTTGGCTGTGAGGGCCGCTAGGCTGAACGGACTCCACGGAAAGGAGCACCTTCCTCCCTCCCTCCCCCTCCCACCCCTCCCTCTTTCCGCCCCTCCCCCTTCCCGCCCCGCCCATCCCCCTTCCCGCCCCCTTCCCGCCCTTCCCCCTTCCCGCCCCTCCCCCTTTCCCCTCCCTCTTCCCCCTCCCCCTTCCCGCCCCTCCCCCTCCGCCCCTCCCCCTTCCCGCCCCATTGCACAGAGGCTGGGTTAGGGGGCCGACACAGTGCATCCCCCACATCCGTACATGCACTGTGCACTGATCGACCTTTGAGGGTAGGACTTGACCCCAAGAGAGACCCCATAGGCAGCCTGGTCCCAGATGGCACCTGCCCCAGGCACCTTCCCTGCTACACTCTGCCCCCTGCCGGTCAGATGACACACACACGCTGTCCAACAGGGCTGTGCCTCGCCCACCAGAGCCCTGGGACCCCGCACGTCCAGCCCTGAGCCCGTGAGAGAGCACCCTCTGCCCTGGAGGCCCAGGGTCCGCAGGACAACTCGGAGGGCGAGGGGAGGGGGCGTGGGGACCCCTCCCCCAGCACTGACCGCAGCTGTGCACGTTGTTCAGCGTGTGGTTCAGGTCGTACAGGTAGTGGTTCAGGAAGTAGATCATGGGCAGCTGGGCACCGGCAAAGCTCAGCTGTGGGCAGAGGGCACAGGCGTTATCTGGGGCCCCGGCAGAGCCTCTGGGGTGGTGCCGTAGAGGGGACAGCCCAAGGCCAGAGGACTGCCCGGCCAGCACTGTGGTCAGCGGGGAGGAGACTGGCCGGGGCCCCGTGTGTGGGTTCTCGGGCGGAGGCCCCGGCCCCGTGGGCACTCACGTGGAAGAAGCTGTAGAAGATGGCCTGGAAGACGAGGAGGTAGGGCGCATGGGAGCCCCGAGGGGGGCGCTGCTGCGGGCCCTGCTCGTCACGCTCCTTGTAGTGGGCGTACTCGTAGTACTTCTGGGCCATCCTGCGCCGCAGAGAGAGGCTGGCCCAGCCTGCCTCTGCCGGGCACCTCCCGCCCCACACCCAGAGCCCGGGCTGGCCACCCCTGCAGCTTACGGAGGGGGAAACTGAGGCCCGGAGGGCAGAGGGGCCAGTCCCAGGTGCTCTGGCCGAGGTTGGCAAAGCAGCGGAGGCCCCGCCGGGTCCCCAGTATCTCCCCCCCCTGCCGCCCGCCGGGCTCACCTGGTGATGTAGTTGCCCATGGAGGCCCAGAGGGGCACGATGGCCATGCCCAGCGCCACGGCCGAGGGCACCAGGGTGTAGTAGCGCTCCCAGTAGTTGGTGGAGACAAAGAGGGCATAGATGCCCACGCCCAGAAACATCATCCACTTGGTGCCAAAAAACCTGGGGGCGTAGAGAGAGAGGCGGGTGTCACGGGCTTGTCAGGACTGCCAGGGCCGATAGCAGTGCCCACAGCTCTCAGCCCACGAGGCTGTGCGAGGTGGGAGAGACCCCTGGGATGAAGGACTGGAAGATAGAAACTCAGAGGTAGGGACTTGCTGAGTGGCTTCAGGGCAGCCAGGCATCCAAACATGTGTTTTCCAGGCTGTCGTGGGCACAGAGACCGGCCCCTCGCCACGGCGAGGATGGAAGGAGGTAAGGCAGGGGTAGGGTGCCAGGTTCAGTGGCTTGTGGGCACGTCCAGCCCTCACTGGAGTTCTGGGCTGACGCACCAACCCCCCTTTTCCTCACGCTGGTGCTGGGACACAGGGCCCAGCACGTGTCCGGGGGACTGGACCCAGACTGGCTCCAGGAAACAGGAGCCGAGACAGGAAGAGGCTCCGTGCTGGCAGCAGCAGGGCCAGCCCCCGGCGTCCCCTCCTCCCTGCCCTGCGCTGCAGGCCCTGTGGTCGGCCAGGACGCTGCTCCTCACTGGCCCTGGGAAGACGTCACCGGCGTTCAGAGGGGCTGGACAGGCAGCAGATAAGGGCCTGTCCAGGGCTCGGGCAGTTCAGGCTGAAAACCAGCCCCCAGACCGAGGTCTTGTTTGTTAAGGGTTTGAGCTCCTTAGTTCTCTGCGGTTCCCAGGCAGCTCGGAGTGAAGTGACGATGGCTTTCTGATCCCTGTGGCATCACAGGGCCCGGTCCCCACGGCCAGTGGGAAAGCAGCCTGGTGGTCTGGGCACGGAGCAAGGATGGGGTTTTGAGCCACTCTGCCTAGGTTGAAACCTTCAGTCTGGCCAAAACTGGTTTGGCTCAGTGGATAGAGCGTCGACCTGCGGACTGGACAGTCCCAGGTTCGATTCCGGTCAAGGGCATGTACCTTGGTTGTGGGCACATCCCCAGTAGGGGGTGTGCAGGAGACAGCTGATTGATGTTTCTCTCTCATCGGTGTTTCTAACTCTCTCTCCCTCTCCCTTCCTCTCTGTAAAAAACCAATAAAATATATATATTTTTAAAAACAAAACAAAAAAAAC